CCATTATCCCTAAACCCTATAACCCCATTACACTAGTTTCCATTTTTTCCATATCATTATCCCTACATTGCCCCCCATATAAACCTAAACCCTAAACCCCTGAGGACAGGAACCTTCAGACTGGAGACTCTTTTGATTGATGTGCGAGACAACGAGGATTTTGTGAACCTTGGACTCAAGAGCTTCCTTTGTCCCTAAGGGTCCAAGGACCCAAATAGTAGGGGTTTAGGTTTAGGGTTTAGGGTTTAGGATTTAGGGTTTAGGGTTTAGGGTTAGGTCCCCAATTACCAGTCAGATTATAGTATTTGGGGCCTAAACTCCCCTCATTATTTGAGTCCTCGGACCCTTGGGGCTATGTAGCTACATGGGCCCTCTAGGTCTAGGAAATGATGTCGGGAACTTGAAGTCTTGGCCGGCTTCTGCCTCCGGTCAAGATTTGCACTTTGCCTAGCCGTATGGGTCCAAGTACCCAAAGGCTTAAGGGTTTAGGGTATCATAAGTCCTCCTTGGCATCCAAGTAACTAGGTACCCCAGTAGTACCAATTTTCCAGTTTTATTTGGGCTTGTCCTTATTAAAGCTGAATATCGGGAAAAGGGTACCTTTATTATTAAGGGGTTACTGGGCAAGCTAGAACAATCATGGACATACCCAAAACCTGGGTGAGAATCACTATTACCCAAAGCGCAAGTACGTGATTATTGGATACTTGGCCCCTTAGGGTAGCTTCGCCTGCTGGCACCCCATGTCTACAACCGTCAATCCACAGGCTCTCATTCCACAAAGGTCCTTGTTATCGTTTGAAAATCTGATGTATTGTAAATAGACATGTTGCTGCTGTGATTATTTGAGAGACAGAACTTGTGACACAATCAGCATGTGCGAAACTATGAACATAGAAGCCGCAAGGGTGCAATTGAAAGACTAGGACCCCTCTCTACAGGCCCGAGAGGGTACTGGGAGGCTCCTAGTGTAGAGAACGTTCATGGAACCACTAGGCTGGTAGCATTCATTCGCAGACGTTGAGGTAACCCTTCCGCCCAAATGATCAGGGCTTAGTTTGACCAATTCGTGTGGTTCATAGGTTTAGCAGTTGGGCTTGCAATCAGTAGGGGTTTGCATTGGTCGGTTTTTGTCTTGTTTATCTATATGTCACTAATATTCACTACGCCTCACTTCATAATATTCACTCTTGTTTGTCCCCCAATGTAAACGGTAGCTGGCCTCTGATGGTGCTCATGTCACGCGGATTATAAGGGACCATCCATCATGTCATGCTCAAGTAAGTTTTTTTTTGTTTTTTGCTGGCCCTGCACGCAACCTAGGAATTATCACATTCCAGGCGCAATCAACATCCCGTACAGCAAGATGTTCATGGATCAAGAGCGAACATTGTCGAAGCTGAAAGAGTGGAATCTCGCAACTACGCGAATCCTCGCTGTCCAGTACATACTATACTGCCCCGCTCTGTTTGAAGATACACAATACCAACATTGAGGGTTTGGGGTTTAGGGCTATCACCAAAGTATCATGCACTGTTGTGATTTTAAGAGCGCAATCTTGTAGGCGCGCCAGTGCCATGGTATATGAGGTTTTATTCCTAATTCAAGCAGCAAAAGGGCAGTATAGTAGCTTTTGAGTTTTGTTTTTGTCTTGCAACGATGAGACATGAAACTTGCTTCTGATGCCTTTCGTAGCTGCGGGAACCCTACACCGCCACGCATGGGTTGAGGGTTCAAGGTTAAAAACCACCGAAGCTCATGATACTGCGTGGCTCACTTCAGGGTTTTGTGATTTAGTGTGATCAGGGCGTAAACGTTGTTCAGCTACCAAAAATCAAAGCCTAAAATCAATGTCGATGTAGCACCATGTTTGTTTAGAGTTCAGGTAGAAGTCTAAAATCCATTCCATAATACCACTATCCCTAAGGGTCCAAGTACCTAATAGTCATATAGTTACCAAAAACCTGTACTATAATTACCATTACCCAAGCCCCAAGTATCTAATTATTGGGTACTTGGACCCTCTTGGTATTGTGTAGGGTTCAGATAGAGGCCTCAAGTTCATTCCATAATACGATTCTTCTTCAGGGTTCAAGTAGCAACGCAACATCAAATTCGTAAACCGGATTCATGGCTTCAAGTTTCTGTAGACCCTTGAAGAACACCGACAAGATTCGGTCAGGGTTATGAGGGTTTAGGGCTTAGGGTTTAGGGTTTATGAGCTTTTTCCCAAATTCGCGAGAGCCTGAAGAAGACACCCCTCGACCCTGCATATTCAAGATATTATACCCTAGGCCTCCAGTTACCTGAATAATGGGAGCTGGGTTCTATATACCCTATAGTTACATAGCCCAGTAGCCTACTATTTAGGTAACTGGGAGCCCTAGGGTATGGCAAGACCCAGATGGTAGTTTCCATGAATACGGGGACCTCGATGTAGATCCCGCCCAAAATACTATGACCCGAGCCTCTTTCATACCAGGACTCGCAAAACGGGCACACCTGATTTTGGGAACCCACCACCTGAGGGCCATAATTTGAGTGAGGTCTGCTTTCTGATTGCTCCTGTTTGCTCATTAACCCTAAACCCTAAACCGGGTTTAGGGTTTAGGGTTTAGGGAGTATGTCTCAAAATCATCCCTATTTCATCCCAAGCTCATCCCAAATAATGACCCCGAGGCCTAAACCATAGTCCTCGCATTACCCCTATAACCAAGGGGGTCTCTGGGGCCCCCTAATTCAAGAAGCTCCCATTTGAGCTGGGGTGTGCTCTTTAGGGTTTAGGGTTTGGGCTAGGGTGTTCTTGCTGTTGCCATGGTTTGCCCACTGCTAATGTGTAGGATCCGGTGAAGCAAGGTATCGTGACTTACGCCACGCACGACAGCAAGTACATTCACACTACAGTTGGCCGCGATCTCTCCGCCTCAAACTGGCTCTGGGAAGTTCTGGGGCAACATGGTGGCTTAGGGTTTAGGGTTTTAGGGTTCCAGGGTTTTAGGGTTGAGAGTTTAGGGTTTCAGGGTATTAGGGTTTTAGGTTTTTTAGGGTTTACGGTTCTTCACAGCTGCCGCTTCGCGAAATAAGTCTGAGAAATATCTTCTCAGAGTTCAGGTAGCTACGTAGTATATGGCTTGCATATTTCCCTGATGATTAGTGCTCCAAGTACCCAAATAATAATGGGTATCTGGACCCTTAGGTTTTAGGGGTACCAAAATAGGACCCTGAACCCTGAATCTTAGTTTTGGGAATTACCAGAAGCCTGCAAAACTCTTGGCAGGCTGCATTAACCTATTGGATATAGTAGATTATGGTATGTTACGGTATATTGCAGTAGATTATGGTATATCATAGTAGAATCTAGTATATTATAGTATATTCTGGTATACGATATCACACTATGGTATATTCTAGTACACTATGGTATATGATCTCACATTTTGGCATAATATGGTAGATTCTGGTATATTATGGTATGTTATAGTATATTTTGGTACACTATAGTATACTATAGTATATTATTGGCGGTTTCTAGTCTTGGTTCAAGGTTCAGACACGGGATGCCTTGTGTCTTCATGATTGAAAGCAGTGTTCTGCCTTTACGCTAGCTTACTTGCAAGGAAATTGGTGGGCCCCCCACAACGCGTCGAACGACCCAGAAGCCTAAAACACCAAAGCCCACTGTATGTCATCATTTCTCAAAATTTTCATAGTTGTTCATCACCTTTTGCCGGTTGCCACGGTCTTCCATCATGTGCATCATTTCTGAATATTTGTCATGATTCTTCATGACTTTCATATCTGAAAATCACATCCATCATTTTTCGTATTTTCTGTCATCTCCATTGGTTTTCATTGGCTTTTTCATCTCCCAGTAGTTCTATCACCTTTCATCATCTTAATCTTTGTTGTTTGCAAGGCAAGCCGGGGGGAGGGCTGCGCCCCCTCCAACCTCCGCACTTTTCAAAGGCCATCCATGCTTGCCCGAACAAGGAAGCATCATGTCATCACCATGTTTGCAGTAAGGAATGGTAATACAGATCATGTTGTTTGCAAAAAGGGGGCGGGGAAGGGCTGTGCCTCCCCCCCAACCCCAAGTTCGTCCATGCTTTACCGCTGTTCATTATTTTGGATCATTTCAGTATGTTTCATGATTTTTCATCAGTGTTCTTCAGATGGGATGTTCCTCGGGATTTCATCATCATGTGTCTCAAGTTTCATCATTTTCCGTCGTCCGCAGCAGTTCCTATGACTTCCATATTTTTCAGCAGCTCTTATCCATCTTCCATAGCTTTCATCATTTTCCATCATTTCCTCATATTCATCATTGTCTTCATGTTCGATGGTTTGTCATCATTTCTCATGATCTTCACTAATTCCCATCATGTCTTATTATAGTTCGTCACTTTCATGGTGTTCATCATGTTCCATCCAATTTCTATTTCATCCTACTTCATCATGTTTCAGAACGTTTCATCTTGTTCATCATATTTCATGGGTTCTTAGTATGTTTCATCATATTCCATCATTTCACCATATCCCATCATTTCCAGCTTTTTCAATTGTATTATTCAGGTTTCATCTCTCGCAGGTTGCATTTTTCGTGATGTGACTGGAAATGTTGCAAGTCCTAGGGTTTGCTATTGTTCCCCTTAAGTAGATGGAATATAGCTTTGGTATCTTATAATTAGATCCCCATATACCCCAAATTCTATCTACTACTTAAGGGGGACTATACGTTTTTAGCTTGGATGCCATTATTGTTTTCTCGACGATGCGTGCCTTTATTTCTATTGATGTCCAGTGTTTTTGTTCGATGCTGCGCCCCTTACCCCCTCCCCCCCAACTCTCCAAGCTGCGCTGAGCATCCATCGTCTTAGCCCGAACGCCCGCACACCAAACCCACCACCCTGGACCATAGACCCCCTAAACCCTAAACCCTGCACCCTAAACCCCTACATCCCAAACGTCGGGCCTCTGCCTTCAATAGGCATCCGCTTACAATGCTGGCTACTCTGAGTGGGGGCTTTGCAGGCTGGGTCAAGGCGCGCGTCGAAGCACATGGGCGTTTGGCTGACTGTCGGAAGCCTTTGTATCCTTGTCTGAAGCCTACGTGCTAGTATCATTATAACCATTATTGTTCTTACTCTTGTCCTTAAACCCTAAACCCTTCATTCATTACTACTACTATTATTACTGCTGTCTTACTACTATTGTATTCTTCGGGGTAGATAAGGGGGAATCGGGACTTGCGAAATGCCCGCAGGCCAGCTTCGAACAACTGGGGGCGCATGAAACAGAGCACGCATGATCCATCCCACGAACATTGCAAACATTTCGGGTTCAGGGTTAAGAGTCTAGAGTTGAGAGTCTTTTCTTTAGATTTCGAAAGCCATGAGACGCAGCAAGCCAAACAAAAAAAAGCTTGCAACCCTGAAGCACGCAATAGGGCTTAGGGTCTTACCTGGACCCTCCAATGTTGTACCTTCTTGGGAGGGTCGTAATAAGAATCCTTAACCAACAAAATAGCACACCCCAAAAGGAACGACATTGGATGTTCCAGGTAGGCCTTGAGCTGCCGAGTTCCATGATGGGCTTCTAGAGCTTTCTGTGATTTGGTACTTTCCGGCAATGAGCGGGCCCCAATGAAGACCCCAATAGACAATCTTCATTGCTCCCAGGAAGGGTATTTCTTGGAGGCCCAAACCCCACACCTTCATAAACTCGGTTTGCAGATTATGTTCCAACTTCATTTCCGCCTGTTTCTCCATTCCTCCACTGTGCCCGACATATCCGTATGTGCCCCTCGCTCTTGCTTCCAAAGGGTCCTAAGTACCTATATAGCAGATACT